ACTATGTGATGAAAGGTATAAAAATGAAAATAATAATTTGTTTCTTTAATTATTCTTGTCTCATTAGAATGTAACAGAAAAAAATCAAACCGGGTGAAGTCAATACACACAAAAGTTCACTTAGCAAAACTGAGCAAAATACCTATAATTCTGCTGACTATAAAAAAAGAACCAAAACTTAATGTAGAGTATATGTGCAAGCAAACTCACTCATTTAACCCTGTAACCCTGCTAAAAGGCAGGGTAAAACTGCTGACCCAGAAAGGAAGCCTGAACTTGACTGTTGACTTTGCTACCACAGTATTTCTTCAGCTTATTTTTAATTAGGCAACTTCCAATTAGAAAAATGAAAAGGCCAAAATTCCATCAGGCTCTTTCACATCAGCATCCCCTGGGTGCTGTCAGAACCAGCACTTGTCAGAACTTGTAAATTTTGCACAAAAGCCTCTCTGATTTGAATTACCAACAAAACTATTTTCTCATTTACCATGACCTGTCCTGTTTGCTCTCAATTTCTCAGCTCCTCACACCAGTCCTGTTCTGAGCATCCCAAGTTTTATCTCTCTGGTCCTCAGCCAAGGCCAGAACAGCCTGAAAAGCCCAAGGTGTGAATGTGCAGAGCCCAGCTGTGCAGTGAATGTGCAGTGTCACACGTGGGGTGTGTGACAAGACTTCCCCAGCCCAGCTGTGCTGTCCCACAAGGACAGAGGAGAGAATTGATCCACTCAGACCCTCCCCACCATCAGCCTGCCCCCAGCACCCATGCCTCAGACACATCGTGCTCAGGATGGGAAGGCAAGGCAGGGAGTGTGGTACAAAATGAGATATCCTGGGGCACATAATGAGATAACATCTATTACCATAAATTATGAAGCGATTTGTGTATAAATGAGGGCTGTCGTGAAATTTAATTTTAATGGTTTGATAATCAAGTAAGAAACACAATAATTACCATACCTACGGTTTTTCAGTAAGTTCAGATCACTGGTAGTGGCAACACTTTTTGGTCCACAGACATTAATACAATTCCTTCCAAGAGCTGTCTGCTATATTTTTCCATGTCAGAACAACCTGTTGATTACCTCGATGCTGGGATAAACAAGCTCAGATTTCCCACTGATTACATTCAAAACACTTGCACTTTGCACTTTGCTCATTGCAAAACTCCTTTAGCAGTGCAGCTGACTGCTTCAAGAAACAGCTTTTTTCTTCTTCAAGAAACTGGAGACTCAGCTAGTCCAGAAAAAAATCTCTGGAGGCTGAACTTTCCAATAGCAGACATGAGAGAATTTGCTTCCCTCATCATCACATGTCATATGTTCAGCTGGAGAGGTGAACAAAACCTGTTGATACCACCATGTGATATTTTAAATAAACTGAAGACATTACCAACACCTCAGAATCACTCACATCTTTTCATCAGGACACCAGGTCTCTAGTACATTTCCCTGTGGATACTGAAATTAAATAAAAAAAACTCCCGCAGATGTAAAGCAGCAAAAATTGATTTGAGCTGGAATCCTGCTTTTCAATGAGCCCTAAAATTATTTTCAGGAGTTCAACAAATAACCATCCAAAACTCCTGCTCCTATCTTTTCTTCAGCCAACCTCACAGGAGAGGGAGGACAAACCTCCTGTCTTTTCCTTTTCTATGCCTAAGGAATCTTAGTTCTCTTCTCTCCCCATCATAATCCCGTGGGAACAAAAGACCTCGGACTAAAACATGTCACTAATTGTCCCACAATGGGACACAAAGGAACATTTCAAGTCATATGGAAATCAGAGATGGAAATATGAAGTCTCTAATTAACATCTTGGGATATAGCAGGGGGAAAAAAGGGCTTTGTTTGTCTGCAAAGCAAGCAACGATGAAAGACAGAAAGATGAGTGAACAAAATAATCACTGAGCCCAAACTATCACTTCTGACTATAAAATGACAGGGAGCAAAATGTTTCTTTATCCTAAAATAGAGGTAAAAGAGTGTCACTTCTCAGAAACACTGCTTATAAATATATATCTCCAAGAACAGCTACAATGCACTCAGTAAATAATTCCAATTATTGGCTTTAAAAGTACAGCAAATTGCAAATTTAAGCTTTTCTGAAAGCTGAAATGATGATTTTCACTAGTCAGCAGAATAATCTTACTGTAGAAAAAAACATCTATTTTTCAGATAGTCTTTTAATGGCCTAAAGGATGTCTCTTTTCCTAAGTAGTATAATACCAGTTTTTCCTGACATATGCAGTGTTATTGTAGCAGCTATTATTGCTCTGTCTCTAAGTTAATTGAAGCAAATTGCCTTTCAGACCTTAAAATAAAAATATTGTGCAGTACTCTATACATTTGATCCATTTTACATGAATACAAACAAGACAGAGAATAGGACAGGGTGGGAATGCACTAAATAATGTGGATACTACAAAATGTTTCCAATCCCAGGGACTGCCCTTTATGGGCTCAGAAAGATCTGCCACTGCCAGCACTGATCTGCTGACAATCCCAGACTTTTTTTGGCATTTCTGTTTCCATCTCCTCACCCTTCCCATTGGCACCACCATGGTCAATTCTACAGCTTCGTTATAAATCAAATACATTGCAGAGAGTGTTCTAATAAATGCAGCATCAGGAATTTCCATCAGTATTGCTCATTTTTCCATGAGAGCAGTGCAAGAATCCCCTGCAAATTCCCTCTCAGGAGGGAAAAAATTACATTCTACAGTGACCACTCTGTAATATAGCGAGGAGAAGCAACACATCAAAACTTCCAAGTTATTTTACTTTCTAAACATCCAAATTGGGAAGCAAAAGAGGCCAGAGTAAGCAGGATGCAGCATTATCCTTCTTCATGGGTCTGGAGGCAGAGAATATGAAAACACTTACAGTCCCCAGCAATAACAACAGGGACAAAGAAAACAATTTCCTGCTACCTCCACTCTGTCAGGATGGGAGATTTCAAAGTGAGGGTGATGAATGGAGAGAGAGTAAATTACAAAAGGAAGAGAAATTGACCAAAGCTGGCAAAAAGTCGTAATTTAAATAAAGGTAGAATGAGGCAAACATTAAGAATGAGGCAACATCAAAAAAGTTTGGGGAACAGGAAAGAAATCCTGACCTTGATTGAAAAGCCTTTTTTAAAATAATAAACAGGTATTAATAACAATCAATATCCAAAGAAAAAAAATCCTAAAAGGAGACTAAAAGAGGGATGTGTTGAAAAGCCTTTATATACTGGGGTTGGAAACCTCAGTTCAAAAGCAGATTCCAGAGAATGTCTGCCATGTATTAAAAAGCAAAGATCTGGAACCATTTCTTAAAAAGGGAAAAGATTTCTCCTTTTTTTTTTCTCTTTTTTTTCCCCCCAAAGAGCAACAAAAGCCTTTTTATATGTGCAGGAAGCTAATTTTAAAGTCCAACATATGTTTCACCTGCTATTCTGTAGTAGATTCATTGGAATAAAAATTAAAACTCATGGAAACATAAGAGCCATATACAATTTTACAATTAAAAGCACTTACCTTCAAGAAATAAATAATAAATGAGTTTAGAATCAATAGAAAATTCTGTGCAATTTCTAACCAACATGAAAAATATATTTTGCAGTAAGAATAAAAATAACTTTAAAGCTTGAAATACCTGCAACACATATGCAATCTCCCTTGACAAGACTGTTTCAAAAGACTTATTGGAAGGGTTTATATCAATTACTATGTAATGATTTAAAGACATTTATATTTAAATCCATTGGAAAATAAAGTTTAATAAAAGGGATGCAATTTTGTAGCTTAATTTCTATCTGTTATATATTGCCACAAAAACTGGAAATGAAAAATTTCAAGGGGTTTGAAATTACAAAAACAATGCAAAAAAACAAGAGGCATAAAAATAGAATTATAAAACCATATGAATAAGAACAAGAACATTTTGATGACTGTTTAGACTGATTTTTTAAAAAGAAAAAGGTCAATTCTTTCCAAATAAAAGGAAGAAGCACTGTATGCTGCTGATGTTTTTTTCTATTGCTTGATAAAGTAAAATTCAACTAGAGTTTGAGTAAACACATTTCAACTTGTCTGTGCTTTGGGAGTCACCAAGGCAAAAAGCATTCCAAATTTACTGCTATTTTACCTATTCTGTAATTCTTTTTGACAGCTGCCTTCCTTGCAATTAACGTGGTTTGACTTTGAACTTAATATTCATGCAGGGATTTGCAGACATGAAAACATCTCTCTTTGACCAAGTTTCTCAGTTGCAGGTCTTCAAGAGTGCAGAACAATTCTCCCAGAGAAGAGAGCAGTGCAGGGAGCCCCTGACCCAAAAGCAAGATTCCCTTTTTCACATGATCACCTTTCCTAGGATAAACTGGAATTCAGATGCAGTGATCATCTGAAGGAGATTCACCAGGCAACCCCAGGCTACAGCAGCAGCAGGAATCCGAGGCAGGTGGATAATGACAAATAATGGTTAATAATGAGCTGTACATCACTCTAGTAGGGTTGCAAGAACCAATACCCAAACCAGCCTGCTTCATCTGAAATTTATTTTCCCACAGAGATTGGGATTGCTTTTTCTTCAGTTCTATTTTTCTTGCCTGTAGTTTTCTTTGTAGGAAAAGTGAGGAAATGGCTCAGGAATCACGAAAAGAAAATTTAGAACTAGGAAAGGATAGCAAACTACTGAGATCAGGTTTTAATACCAGGATTACATTCAGAGCACATGGAAATTACATTCAAACACTCTACAAAAGTTAAATGAGCTGTACACCTCAGTACCAGCTGCTTTGTATGTCATTATTTTCAAGACTACTACATGCAGAGCCGAAATAAATTTACTTGTGATATTGCTAAAACTTAGTGATGCACCTTCAAGAAAGCAAACCTTTTATATTCTTTGACATGTGTACAAGTTTTAAAAAGAAAAACAGGCACCTAAATGTCATCAGCTGTGTACAGAGACATCCTAGGGCTAAGCCTGGGCCGTTTTAGCAGTGACAGCACTCACCGCTGACACTCCCCAGCGTGCAGAATTAAATCTTCATTGTTCCTGGCACTGATGGTCAGCTCGTGCTCTGTGGAGTTGAAGACATCAAGAAGGAGGTGACACTGCCGGGTGCTGTTCAGGTGGAGGGGAAAAAACACAATTTCAGTGATATTATTGTATGTCTATCAAAGTTAATATTTATACATGGGTATAAATATATATATATGAAAAAATACATACAGGTTTTATCTTCTGCTCCAACTGTAAGAATATCTTTATCCCTTACTAAAACAATTTAATATTTCCCTTTTTAATAATTAGATTTTTTTTTTTGCTAGAACTAAACAGAAGGGTACATCCTAAAGAGAAGCAGTCTCCTGACAATTCTGACCTGCACAATATCAAAATGTGCAGCTTTCACATTCACTTCTGTGTAAAATGCCACAGACATTTTTCAGTTCTTTGAGCCTGAGTTGTATTATTTTAAATTACCTTGACATTACCTCTTTAAGACACAAATATGCAAGCAAAAATTTAAATTAGTTTAAGTTCATTGTAAAGGAGAAATTCCATTTCCATGCCGTGTCCACAGACCAAAACAAGCTGGCAACTGGAGCACTTAACCTGGAGAAGAAGTTTTGTGAGAGGGAAAACTCTCTCCCCTCTGTAACAGGCAAACACAGGCATTTCTCACAGAAAAAAAGTTAAAATTTGTTGGCTACTATCCTCAAATCCAAATTTCCCCAAATGTATTTGACAGAAATACACCAACTGCATTTCTGGTAACCTCAGAAAATACAACTGAAAAAGTTCCAGAATAAAAACTTTACTGCAAAAGTTCATTCTAATAGACTTTTTAATTATAATTAATATTATTTTATAATATTCACCAGTCTTATTATGTTAATATTAATAAAAATAGTCATTTACTAATTTAGTTACTATTTAACACTTAAGTGTTAATATTTTCAATAATTATTTTATTCTAATTAATATTCTGGAAAATGTTAGTCTAATTTACAACCTTTTCTTCCTTGTGAGAATTACCAGAAATAGCAGCATTGGTGATAAAAATATAATATACATGAAAATTGACTGGAACCAGGTACCAAAATGCCAAATCCAACCAGACACATGCAATAACACTTTACTGATCTGTTTGAAATTCAAAACTTCCCAAGAGGCTACTGAACACCCCAGAAATATCCCCAAAAAATAAGAAAGAGGAATATTGGTGAGGTGAGAGTTGTCAGAGCCATCCTTCAATGTGTATGATCAAACTACAGCTGTGTGTCTGGGGCAACCAAGAATATTAATATTAATATTAATATTTATATTTATATTTATATTTATATTCATATTCATATTCATATTCATATTCATATTTGTATTTACTGCACAAAAGTTCACAATTAACTGAAATACCATTCCAAAGGCAATTAAACTTAGAGGTACAAGAGTTTAAGAACTGTTCTTCTGTGGAAACAGGGTCTCTGGTCCATAATACAAGTCTGTTCTGAAAATCAAAGATGTCCCTTGCAGAGCACACACAGGAGGAAAAGTTTTGCCAACCCTTGGGGCAGGAACACTCCCAGGACAAGCCCAGGAGCTCATGGTTTAGGTCACCAAGTGACAATGATGTCACCTGCAGCCAGGCACAAGCAAGCACTGCTGGGGTCAGGACCAAGTCTCTTAGCAAAAATAAAAAGCAAAAGTGGAGGTGGAGGATTTTTTAATATATATTTTAAGAGATTTCTCTCTCTTTGTAAAAAACCCCAATGACTACTGAATATAGAGGGGGAGGCAGGAAGGCAGCTGAGTGCCTGAAGCAAACATGTCAAGACTCAAGAACTTAGAGAAATAAGGAGATGTGGCTCTTGTTAGAAAGTTCCTTCCTTAGAACTCCCAAGAAATAACTGGAAGGGCAGTACTTGAGTTACCTGTCAGAAAGGGATGGAAAAGGGGAAAAGCTTTTATCAGCTTCTACCTCATCACTGGGGGAGTGAGATGAGACCTGTGAAGCCTCTGCATCTCCAGTAGAAACAACATGATGGTCTGGGAGAGCAACTTCCAGTGTAGATTAGTTTTAAAAACTTTATATGGAAGGAATTTGTTATTTCTGCCACAGCAAACCCAAACAAAAAACATTCAAGCCTCCTGCAATATCTTCTGGCAGCAGAGCCAAAGTTTTACAAATAAAACAATTCATGCCACAAAGGAACTACACAAGCAGCTGCCCTTCAGGACTAAACAATATCACTGATATTAAAAATTCCCAAATATGAATTCTTGAAAATTATTCATCACCATGACATTTATTTCCTCCTCTTCCAACACTGCACAAAACAGGCGTGTAGGAGAAATAATTCTTTCCTTGTAATTTAACATTAATTCTCAAGGGAAATCTTTAGGTAAAAAAAAATATAAAACTTGAAGTTACAGAATTATTACAGTACCTTGAAAACTTAGAAGAATAAGATATTAGTGTGAAAGAATTGAAAGTAACATTAAGACTGTAGAAAAGGTAGCACTAGAATAAATACTTATAAATACCAGAATAAATACTTCAGAATAAATACAGGACAGTATCAAAGAGACTATTACAGCAATGAAAACCAAATACAATTAAAGGTTGATTTATTTTTGTTATTGAAACAGGAAGCTTCAAATAGAAGCTTCATCCAAGTAAGGAAACCAAGAAAGCATAAGCTCTGGAAAATCAGGTGCAATGCCAAAAAAAAGTTAAAAACAAAAAGAAAAAAAGGAAACCCTGAAGCTGTTAATGAAAATTTGCTGAAGATCTGAGAACTAGCAGAATTTTTTTTTTTTTCTTTTTTCTTTAACAGTCTGCAGTCAGTTGAACAGTGTAGAACTCATAATGCTGAGTTATGAAAGTTCCAGGAAAAAGAAAATTAACAAGAATGCCAAATAATTAATATCAATTTTCCCTCCAGCAGAATATACAAAGGTCATTCTCTGCAAGACAGGAATTAAATACCATATTTCAATGTCAGTAAAGGAGATTTGAGAGGCAAATCATGTTCATGCACTGTGATAAAGGAATTCCAGTAAGATTTTGCTGAGCTCCTATATTCAAGTGTAGTCAGAAATGTGTTGCTTAAACCAAGCTCTTTACCAGAAAATTTCAAACATCAGATTCTTTTAAGGATTTTAAGGCAATTGACCAAATCTTAGACCAGTAGTACTGACCTCAAAACTATGTAAATATTTTTTTTTTAAAGTCTGCCAGCTTACAAAAAAAAAACCCAAACAAACTTTAAAACACTCAAAATAAGAAATATATCTAAAGTTGATTATATTATATACCACAATGGCCTACTGACGTGTTTGGCAGAGAAACATCAGTCATAAGCCACAGGAACTGGGAAAGACTTGCCCATATATACACAATTTATTCTCCCTTTCCCAAACTATGCACCACCATGTAATAGTTTACACCAAATATTTAATTGCTTGAGGAAGGCAGATTTTGAGTCCTCTAAGTTTATTTAAGTAGGTGTTAGTTACCATTCATCCCAGAGAATGCAGAGAACACCATCCCCCACATTTCACACACTCTGAAGGGTCACCAGTGGCCTCCCAGTCTTTTTTAGGGGTCATTCCACTGTTACCAGCTCCTTGTGAAGGTTTGGGTTGAACACACCCAGAATAAATCAGTTTTAGTTTGGGTGGGGTGGGTTTGTGGGTGAGGATGGTATCAAACACACAACATGGAACCATCAGCAGCTGTGACCATGGATGGACACCAGGATACAGGACAAAAATTCATCAAAGGGTTTGACTCTTCTTCCTATCTAAGGAAGGAAGTAAGTCTGGTCCAATAAACTGAGTCTACTAAAAAATCACAGCACTCAAACATTTTTCTATTTTGATAATCTTCCTGATTTGTTCATGATGCTTGTTTATGAAAAATCTTCCATAAATGTCATGTTCAAGATTTTCTTTTACAAGTGACACAAAACTGCAGAAGGTTGTAGAGTTAAAAACTAGAATTAGAAGGAAACATTTTCAGTAGATTGATTTATCATCTGAACATCTCAGAACAACAACTTTAAGTCAATACTGATATAAAAAAACAATTAAGAAAAAACTTTAATTGAAAATTGAGTTAATTCAACAATATCTTAGAGATGTAGTGTATAAATGAATTTCTGTTATCATCTACTGTAAAACTGAGAACATAACACAAGGAAAGTTAGCAGCACGATGAATCATGCTGTATTTTTAAAATCTTACAATGCCAGTTATGGTTCCAAAAAGAGTCACAAAACTGGGGCCATGGGAACTTCAGGAAAGTGACAATGACACTATGATCGAGAAATCTCTTTCAGGAGGATTGTGATTACTTGAAATGACAGCTGAGGATATTCTTCAGTAACACTGAACACAGAAATAAACCCCAAATGCAGCTGCAATGATGGCTCACTTCAGTGAACAATCTCTGCAGTTCTGTCTCCAGCTTAGTTTAAAAGTCACTTTAAACAAGAAACTCTCAGGAGGGTTGGCAAGTTTTTTACATCCTGACTCATCTCAACTTTCCCATCAACTGACAGCATGGAATATTTTCATATCCACACTTCTCCTTTGCTTCTCTTCTGTTTTCTTTGAACAGCCATTGCTACACAGAATGGGACAGACAGGGAAGAGAAGCTGTGGCTTCTCTTCTCTCTTTTGCAGAACAACAATCTACATCACCTTTGTTGATGCTGTTCTGTCTTCAGTAGGGTCTCTTTAATTTAATTTTTAATCAATTATCTAAAAATTGAGTTCTCAATACTAAGTTTAGATGATTAAGTCAGTTTCTCCACATTACTGGCAAAAGGTCTTTTCACATATTCCAAGAAGTGTCCTCATCTGACCTCCCAGTTGTAACCCTTTCCACTTATGCTAAATATTCCCAGCACATCTATAAATATTTGGAGATTTATGTTCTCACATCTTCATGTGTCAAACCATACATATTTAACATCTGGATCTCAAAAATCAATTCTCTCAATCTGCAAGCTACTTTCTGCTGCTCTTTCATGAACCCACTGCAATGTTACACCATTAGCAGAAGTTAAATACCTCTGATTACCAAGATAATTTAACTATTGGATGTGACCTCCCAC